AAGAAATCAGAACATTTTAAAGCATGAACTAGAGGAGCTTCACAGTGTCCATGGTTATGACAACTCTACTCCGGCACACTGCAAACACATATGCAATACGATAATGACATTTGTAGGGAGAAGCATCTCAAGTGAGACAGTACCAATAACATGGGTTGTAGGCACAAGCTTAACTCTGCCCTCGGAGAGTGAAACACAGCACGGTTTCATATGTTTCCTTAACCAGAATCACACTGGCTTTTCTACACTTCGATACTATACTCGTAAGAGGACAAACCACGTTTTTTCCCCACTTCTGTCTGTGTATCTTAACTCCTCTGCAACGAAGTGCCAGACACAGTTATAGACTCGAGACATGACTTTGCTTTCATGAAAGCACTGTGGTTCCACTGGGGAAGAATTTGCATCTCAAGCACTGGAGGGACAGGTCCTACCAGAAGGTTCAATAGGTGCATAAATAGTTGCAGAACCCAATCATATCTGCTGTAATACATGCAGCAAGTCCACATAATGGATAACAGAAGGGAAAACCGTACATGGAAAAAAGGACTAGCTGCATACTTCAGCCATTACAGGACAAATAAAAACAGCTGGCTTCTACTAGCCTCCTAGTTACAACTAGCTTACAGCTTCCTTCAGGTATCCCAGAACAAAAGGAGCTCAAGAAGATATTTATGGCAACATTTCATAAAAGATATCAAGAGCAAGAGGATGTCAAAAAGACAATCTGAAGAGCTGCACGGAAAGGCTGGGTTATTGGTGCTAACACTGCTGGTTAAAGCAGATGCCCTGACAACGGCGGCTAGAAAGAGCCACCGTGCAGCGTGGCAGCTGGTGTGCCACGTACTTGGGAATAACCCGCGGCTGAGCGCCCACGGAAGGATGGGGAAGGGCAGGCACGCTGTAGGTCACATAAGCACTGTGCTCTGGTAAATCTGCAACTGCCCACGCGCACAAGGCAATAGAACAGGATTAGAACATGGTTATAACAATTAATAGTGAGGCTATATTACACATTTAGCAAGACTCTTGCAATAACATACTTGCACACTGTTTAGGAACCTCACAGGATCAAGCTATGAAATGTAATACACACAAATATCTACGCAAATTATTTTTAATCTATAGACAGATAAAAGAAAGACTTCGCATAAATACAGGAAGGAGTAATAGCCATACAAAAACGCAATTTGATAATGCAAAAACATTTTAAATAACCAGTTGAGGGTTCAGGGGGCTGGGGGGGGTGGTGGTTTTTAAATAATAAACTGACACAAAGGAGACGTAAAATTTAAAATATACCTTGCAACATTTGCTGACTGTCCAAGCTATAGTACTCTGAGCAATCCCAGGCCAATATACATATTCAGAATTACATGAACCTTTGTTATTTGCATTCTTCTTGTATTACATTGTATTAACACCTGAAGCTTATGTCAAACTTCTTACGGCAGAGTCATGCTATGCCCTTGTCGTGGGTCCTGTCCTCCAAACCTCATTCTCAACATTGAGAGCAACACTCCTGATTGCCCATCACAGGCATAAGCATTTTAAAAGAGGCTATGGGACTCTCTTGGGCTAGATACTGCATCCAGATATGTAAGAGTAAATGGTGCCTTTCCTCTCAGAGACCACCTCAAATTTTGAGAGAAAACTACCGAGAAGCAATGAACAGACAAATGGGGCAGCAGCTGCAAACAGAGCTGTCCAAGCAGGGACATAACGAATAAACCAAGTCAC